GAGGAAATAACAACTGATAAAAGAAATGCTGCTGGATTAATCCAATTTATATATTTTAAAAATGCTTTAACTCCAAAATTTAAGTCCAAGGACAGGTTACTGGGGAAAAGGATTTCTATTTTTATTTCCACAGAAAATGAAAAGCTGTGGATTCCTTCCAGACTAACATGATTTGATCAAGCAAGACGCCCTGAAACAGTGTTCCAGGTGAACCAACATTCATAACAGTTGGGACAAGACAGCCTTTCAGACTACAGCTAAGATTTCTGTGTCTTCTTAGGATCCCCATGACAGCATCCCCTACCAGAAGAAAGCAGTTTGGAAAGAACAACGCCCAAATTCCCAAATATTTTCTATAAATGTTTGTTTTCAGGTATACGGGGTTGGTTATAAATGGTTAATGATCACAACCAATATCTTTAAAGGTAAAAATGGGATTATGGTATAGATATGAATACTTTGTTTTGGAATGGATTTTCATTTATTGATACAAATTTAAGGTCAATTTTGTGATATGTATATTTCTCCTCTTGTTTAGGTATTGTGTTTATATAGCTCGCTTAGAAATGCAATATAAAATTTAGTACAGATTTTAGATAGTTACCTATAAAACTCAAAACTTCAGTTAGGTTTTACCTATAATAGTCAAAACTTATGTTAGTTAGGTTTTCTAGATATATACAGATGTATTTGAGATGGATAGGCATTCTTCAAACATTTCAAAGATCTACAAAATATGACATTTAAAATGGTTTAGGGTTTTTCTTCACAATGAGGCATAACTGCTCCTGACACCACCACCTGTATCAGAAAGGAAGATGGTGAAGAAACTTGTTATGGAGTTTGCTTCCAATATGGCAAGACTAGCCATTTGGGCAAGATACTGCTCTTGTCTAGACTGTTTGACTTTATGCTATATAAACTGGACATGCAGGACCCACAGAAAAGTGACAACTGATACAAGATGGACAGTGCTACAGGGTTCCTGCTTCATGGAAGAGTCTGCTAGACATTCTGCAGGACACAGAGAAAAGTGACTGACAAACTGCCAATACAAGAAGACAGTTTAAAGTTTCCTGCTTTGCTGAGGAGTCTGCCAGACACACTATGGCCTATAGGCCTATAGGCTGAAGATGGAACATTACAGAAGAACTTCGGCAAGTTGTCTCTGTCATTTCTAGAGTTTATATACTATCCTTCTGTGGTCTTTGATGGAGTTGAAGATGGATAGTTGTGGTTATAGTATCCCTTAGTTAAAATTAAAGATAAGTTACATATAAGACCTTAGACTCACTAAGATAGGATAGATGATAAAATATTTAAATCTTGCTAATGTTAATGGACACATTGTTAACTGTGATTTTTATTTGATAACTGTTGTGTGATATATTTTGCTATGCTATGGTTAAAACCCTTCTTTTTATTTTAGACAGAAAAGAGGAGATGATGGGAGATATCATTCTGTAAATATGTTTCTCTTATCGGTTAATGAATAAAGCACTGTTGGCCAATTGGAAAGCAAGATAGGCGGGACTAGGAGACTAGGAGGAGAGAGGAGGTAGTAAGGAGGATCCAAGATGGAGTACGGGGAGAGAAGAACGCTAGCCACTCTCTCTGGTAGGATAAGACCACATGGAAGTACTTAGATTAATAGAAATGGGTTAATAATTAAGACAGAGCTAGCCGATAAGAAACTAGTAAGTGGCCAACAGAATTATATCTAATACAGAGTCTCAGTGTGTCTGGCAAGGAGGTGGGACCAGGCCGGTAGGAAAAAACCCTACTCATAACAGTGGTTCCCTCCTCTCAAATGACTATAGCTGTGTCAAGCTGGCATAAACATAGCCAGCACACATTCCTGTGCATATATCCAAAGAACATTACACCTTACTACAGAGATACTGTCTCATCTATGTTCATTGCTATTCGATTTTTAATAGTCTGAAATTGGAAACATCCTAGATGTCTATCAGCAATGACTAGACAATGGAATATTTGTCAGCTGTTAAAAAAAATCAGAATTCATGGACAGATTAACAGAGCTAGAAAAAGAAATCCTTAGTGAGGTAACCCAGACCCCAAAAGGAAAATATAGTATGTATTCTCTTCCATGTTGATGTTAACTTTTAAGCCTTCAATTAGTATGCTACAAGCCCTGTACCCTCAGAGGTTAATTACCTAGTAAGAGACTAGTCAGGAGGGAAGCATCTTCCAAAGAGAGGAAATTGAATATATAGTTATGGAGTGTCTCAGTTATTATTTTTATTGCTGTGAAGAGACACTATGACCACATGACCATGGCAACTCTTACAAAAGAAAACATTTCATTGTAGTTGGCTTATAGTTCAGAGGTTTAATCCATTATCATGGCCGGAAGCATGGCCGCATGCAGGCAGACATGGTGCTGGAGAAGGAGCTGAGAGTTCTACATCCTGATCTGCAGGCAGCAGGAAGCAAACTGCCTTGAGCTTCTGAAACCTCAAATCTCACCCCTTGCTGTGCACTCCCTCCAACAAAGCCACAACTAATCCAACAAGGCCACACTACCTAATAGTGCAACTCCCTATGAGCCTATAGGGACCATTTTCTTTCAAACCACGCCATAGAGAGTTGAGGGATACTGGAATGAGAGGAAAAAACAGAACATGGGAGGGAAAAAGGAAATAAAGAAGGCAATATAGGGAAAGACAGCTAAAAAGAAAGAGACCATTTGAGGGGAAGGCATGTGGAAGCCTACTATAATAGAGGCTTCTTAAAATATATACATATATGAAATAAATCTAAATGGAGTCACCAAATAACAGGCACAGGGGAACCCCAACTTGACTTTTCTTGCCACAAAGTGAAAGATGCCAAGAATGTGTTACATCTAATTAAGTTGTTGGTCCATGCAAACTTCAAAACCACTCAAACTATTGCCAAGGTTATTGTCTGCTCTTCACAAACTGATGGTGAGGCTCTATTGCTGAAGCAACACTTACGTATCTCACTGGATATGAAGAAGTGGAGCTGGTGACTTACCAGAGCCTTCATCCCTACTGACTAGTGTTCATGATACTGGCAGGTACTGTCACACTATCAGAGGAGAAAGGTAAACACCAATCCAGCTGCAAATCCTGTAATCTCTTATGTAACCTAACTGTGTGATGTGTTGGTGTAATAGTGACACAAAATATGTGAGAGTAACCAACCACTACCTGATTAGATTTAAGGCCTCTTTTATGAGATGGGACCCATACTTGCTACTTCTTGGGTGGCCAAGAACCTGAGACTAGATAAGCAAAGAACCTAGGGGAAGCAAATACTACTGTTCTGCTGAAGGAGCATAGCAATAAAATGACTCCTAACAACATTCTGCTATACCTATAGACCAGTGTTTAGTCCAGCCATCATCAGACAAGCTTCCTGCTATAGTAGATGGGAAGTAATACAGAGACACACAACTAGACATTGTGCAGAGAGTACGAGACTTTGGAAAACTTGGTCCTAAATGGCATGCCTCCATCAAACTTCTCCATCGAAGTGTAGGGAAATACCTGGAAGAGGAGGGGGAAAGACTTTAAGAACTAGAGGGAATGGATGACTCTGAGGAAAGTGTCTTCCAGACACATCAGGACTGACCACATATGAACTTGCAGAGACTGTGGCAGCATGAACAGTCTCTACACAGGCCCAAGTCAGATGGGGTCCCAGCACTGAGAGAGGGGAGTGAACAGAAGATCACATCTCTAACAAAGAAGCCATCTTCATCTGAAAGTCTTTACAAAGGAAAAATTGGCTTTCTCCCATATAAACCACACTTAATGGCAGGCCCCAAACTCAGCAGTAGATGACCACACCAAACAATCTCAATGGTAATTTTGGAGGGTTTTTGTTTGGGTGTTTTTATCTTACTGATCTTTTGCTTATATAATATAGTTTATGATTTTATATTTTATCTGGGAGGAGATGAGGGAAGGGAGTGGGAATATGGTGTATGACAAAATATTTTCAATGAAAGAGGCTTTGCTTATTAATAACACTTATTTTAGACAGACACACCTCACCAATCAGACCCAGTTATCAATTCTTTCCAAAGCAAGCCATTCATATCCACCGTGATCTCTCCCCCTCCTAACCTGGTGCTGTTCCCACAACAGCACAGGAAGGCCCTTTTTAGCTCCAGGAATAGTCATCATAGAATAGCAGAAAGCATGTAGAGATAATCGTTACCAACAATTGTGAAAGCATCTTCTGCAAGGAGAATCACTGGAGTGCCCACCCCCTCCTTTTTGCAGCACTTTATTTCCTACTGGAATGTTTGGAAACAGTAGAAGAAGCTAGATTGTTCCACATTGATACTTTAATAGTATGTAGTTGTATTTACATATCACAAAAACTTTGTACATTAAAATGATAGTTTATCATTTTAAATATACAGATCAGTATACAGTGGTATGAGGTTTAGAAGCAGCTCTTCTGCCCAGTGGTAAGTTGCAAATGACAGTGCTAGATTCACAATGGCTGACACCTGCAGTTCTATGACTAAAGAGCACTGTTACTGCCTATAATGAAGTGCCCAGTAAACAGAATATTGTCCCATTCACTCACAATAATGTGAAGAGTCATGGTCCTTCTAATATACATATCTGTATTAAGCCTTATAGCTCACAATAATACAAATATAGATTCAATATCATTCAGTCAAAATCAATGCTTAATATGGTATATATACACATACACACACACACACACACACACACACACACACATATATTCATTCCAACTTGCTCCACGAAAAGAACTATATTTCAGCCAGAATATCAGCAGAAAGTCAACATACTTAAAAAACATACACTATAACTTTAAAAATATGTACACTCACATGCTGCCATACTGAAGGCTACATACAGATGTTCTTAGTCCAACTTAGACTTGAACTATCAAGTCTTTTGGGAAATATAAACACTCATCACTGCTAATTTTTAGGAAGGTGAAGGATCCAGTTCTCCCAACAGGGCTGGCTGTAGTCTACCTATCTCTCATGCTCATACATCTGGGAGATTCTGTAAGATCTGTCTCAAGGAAGCGCAGGCAACCATATGGGCATCCGAAGGGAGATTAGCAAGTGACTGGATCAACTTCTTCACTATCGTCTTCAGACACTGGTGCGCAGCATTCAGATCTCTGTCGAACTGTTGTCCTTCAATTTGCAGAGCCAGGTGACTGCAGATGTTTCTAAACTCAACACTGTCCTGCAATGAACAGCAAAAAAGCTGGAAATTAGATTAATGATGTGAACATTTGCTGTGTTTCCCTTGCCTGGGTTCCAGATTTTTCTCAGAGAACTACCATCTCCATCATTAGCTATAGGAGGGTGGTTTAACCAAAGCTGACCCAATCCCACCTCCAGGTCCATGAGCATGCAACACATCCAGTCCAATGAACTAATCAGAGATGGACAGAGTGATCACACCTAGTCAAGTGACCTGGTCAGATACAGGTGACCAACAAATGCCACTGGTCCCACTGCTGCTGGACTGGAAGAGAGAAGCTCTCTTTTGTCAGGATTACTTAGTAACTTTTTGTGATCTATAGGACAAAGTACTAATGAGGATGTCTCCAAAGCAAAAAGGCTAATCAACATGCCTCATATGGCCTGCCAGCATTTGGGCCCATTTCAACAGCGCTGCCCTGTTTCCTGAACCCTTCGGTTTGCTGCAACCTGCCCCAGGGCACTTTCAGTGTGCACTAGCCCCTCTGGTTCAGTCAGTAGGTAGAACATGAGACTCTTAATCTCAGGGCCATGGGTTCAAGCCCCATGTTGGGTGTCAGGTGTGGTAAAAAAAAAAAAAAAAAAAAAAAAAAAAAACTCGCAAAAAAGTCTATTTACCAATTGATTAAGGGGTGCAATAAAAAACAAACAAACTCATGAATATAGAACAAAGCAGATACTGCTGATGATCTAGTTGACTTCATCCAGCAGTTCTGCCCAAGGGGGAAGAGCACCAACCGATCTCTAAAACCTTAAAAAGCCTAAACAGGTAGATCATGCAGCAAAATAAATCATGCAACACATACTATACAGATTGGAAATGACTAGTTTGAGCCAATGGGAATAATCAGACAGACATGTGGAATATTTTACAGAACATATCTTAACACATCTGGAAGTCTGTGTCATACAATAATCACAATACAAGCAGCGAGAAATCAGTGAGACAGCTTATCTCCCCCAAAGCATAGACTTTAGAAAGCACTTCTAAATAATTCATAGGTCTGCAAAAAATGAACTTTGAAAATACCCCATAGAGAACATGCACAGAAACATTGTATCAAAATTGTGGAAAGTAGGGCTGGGCAGTGGTGGTACACACCTTTAATCCCAGCCCTCAGGAAGCAGAGGCAGATGGATCTCTGTGAGTTTGGGGCCAGCCTGGTCTACACAGAGAAACCCTATCTCAAAAAACAAACAAACAAAAACACCTGTAGAGAGTAGAAAGATATGCAGACTTAAATACCTATATACATAAATAAAAGTGACAGAAAGTTCCTAAGTTAAGAATTAAACCCAATAGCTTGGATGGTGCATAAAATTCCACCACCACCCACCACTCCCTGCCAATGGAAAGAAGCCTGAAAATTAATGGAAAGGTTGGGGAATGGATGATAGTAATAAGAATGTCCCCATAGTCTCATACATTCTTTCCACAGTTGATAGAGCAACCTACACTGCAGCATCATATTGCCTGCAGTGAGAAAGTCACTACAGATCCCAAATCCACCTCAACGGAAACTTTCCAGCTGCTCTACAGAAGGAATCCAATCTAAGTACAAGGTGGAAGGCTCAAGGACATGGGATAGGAATAGCCAAGGCCCATACTGATGTGTGTCTGTTCATCCTTAACCAAGATTAAAATGCCTTGAAAAATAAACTCAGCTGGGTGGTGAGTGGTGCATACTTTTAATACCAGCACTTGGGAGGGGGAGGCAGGCAGATATATGTGAGTTCAAAGCAAGCCTGGTCTGCAGAGGGAGTTCTAAGACAGCCAGAGCTGTTACACAGAGCAACCCTTTCTCAAAAAATAAAACTAAATAAAAATAATAAAATAAACTCATGAGCCTGGAACCTGAAGTTGATTTCACATTTACTCATGTAAAGACTCAAATAGTGCATCTTTGGGGGGAATTATAAAAGTTTACAGCTGGTTCCTGAGAATCTGAGCAAGTGGTAGACTTCTGATGAACTCTGCAAGGTCTTTTTATTTTATTATGCTAGTATAGTCTTTCCTTTTTGCCCTTTCTAAAATACAGTAACAGTCAATGAAAACAAATGATTAGGCTTTCCATGTGACTCTTACTCCAGGGGGAGGGAGAAATAAAACAGGTGGTCTCTTTGTTTCAAGAATGGCTAAATGCCAACTTTGAATACACCAATCACTGTCTTCAATCAATGCTGCTCCTTCTGGGGAAGACTGGAATCCCAAGACACAAGGTTAAGGCTCATTCAATGCTTCATGACTTTTAGTAGAAACACAAAAGATCAATACTGGCCACGATCTCATTCTTAGTGCCTTCCATTCGATAACAAACCATATTCTCCTGTGACTGTTACATAGGAAGTCCCAGACACTACAGAAATGATACAATATCCTACAGCACTTTAGCACTGTGCCAGAGTTAGAACCACATACCCAAACAACTAAAAACAGTTTGTTTTTAGCTCTAAAGCTCTAAAGCTTTTTGTAATTCAGAATCTGCCTATGAAATGTGTCAATAGGCTACAGTGCCCAAACTGAAGGCACCAATGACGTTTTCAAGTACACTGAGATTCCCATCCACATCTTAACTAATCTAACGGGGTACCAGTTTAACCCAGGTTCACTCAGCTAATAAAGCAGCAAACTTATTTTAAATGTGCATTAAGCTATTTTGACTTGACTATACTGGATAAAGTCAAGGAGACATCTCCCTGTCTCTAAAGAGCTGTAATGCTGTGAGTAGAAGCATCTGTCCAAACACGCAATGAAAGTTGATAAACCCTGTAGTAAGAAGAGGAAGCCCTGAGTGGATGTGTATTTTGACATAGGCATTGCCAGTAGAGGACTCCCAAGTCTTGGACTCATGGGCAAAGCCATTACCCACAAAGACCAAGCTCAAGATGGGTAGCAGAGCTCTCGTCCGGAGTCGGTATATATGAGTGTTTATGGATGGTTGGTCAGTGTGTGCAAAGGCTATCAATTGTGACTTCTTCCTCAGATGTTTATAGCCTGAGACTGCTTTCCCACAGAGATAGAACTAGCTAACTCCTCCCCCTGCCCTGTTGCCAATAAACACTCTGAGGTTCCAGGTTGAGACAGAAGAACACAACCAACAGCTTCCCTCTCTATGTGCCTGTGTAACTTTTGTTTATTCACTCACTGCTCCTAAGCATCGTTCCTAGACCCGAGCCACATGAGACACGGCAAAGGTTCATAGGAAAATTGCAGAAATTAAATCCTCTTAAAGAACACACTTTTATACACTTAGAATCAATGCCCAGTCCAGGGTTCCTGCAAAGCTGGGTGAGTACTTTCTACTGTGTGCCCCATGAATTACTGTAAAAAATTTATGCAGACACATTGGAGAAACCTGTGCTCATACAATGAAATGGCTTCAAGGAGATTACAGTTTCAACCATTTGTCATTATTGTATGTGTATTATGATGTGTGTTTGTGCACACACACACATACTCACATGTGCACACACTGATGTGAACATACATGCCAGAGTGCATGAGGAGGTTTAGGGGATTAAAGCTAGATAATAAGATTTGCATGTCAAAGGATTTTACCCCGTAAGCCAACTTTCCAGTCTAACACAAATTTTTAAAACAATGTTATTATCATTGTTATTGTTAGTATTATTAGAACTCTATCCTGTAATATGTAAGACAGTATCCTTCACCAAAGATTCCAAAGATAGCATACTAATTCCCAGCACCTGTGAAAATATCACTGAGCATGGCCATCAAGCCTTTGTGGGTTTCAAGATGGGACTCCCTCAGAGCAGACAGAGCCCATTATCTCAAGGGCAAAGCAATAGCCATCCACACTCTGGTTCTTCCCTTTGATAGATCACCCTCAGACAACCCGTTTTATCTATGGTAAATGCATTTTCTCATCCATAAAATATAATTACTAATAGCTGGCATAGAGGACTATCTGGGTCCAGCCACCTCTGCTAATCATTCCTGCCCAGGAGCATTCTCCCTTCCTCAACCCTGAGCTGGCATTCAGTATAAAGGAGGTCTCTTAGGAAAAATGTCTTGGGGCTTTCTTGCATTGGGTATTGTGTTTATTAATAATGCATATGTCTGAAATGTTTGAACAGTATGTTCTTAAAACCTGGAAAGAAGTATGACTTCAAGTTCTTTGCACCTGCAATGCCCATTAAAGGGAGAAGATAAGCCCTTTTCAGAATCTTACAGAAAATAAACACTCCCTTCAGAACTGAAGTCTTGAAGGCAGGAGCCATTTGTCAGCAAATGCCAGGTTCAGGTCTGGCTTTCTGAAAGCAACATTGATGGGCAATAAATCCAGAAGTACAGTGTGATATCATAGGCTCTTAAATGCAGATGATACTTTAACAGCCTACAAGTGGATGTAGGTACAAGTTCATGTGTGTGTGAAAATGTGTGTGGAAGATAGAGATTGATATCAGGTATCTTCCTCAATCGCTGTGTGTGTGTGTGTGTTGTTGTTGTTGTTGTTGTTGTTTTTGTTGTTGTTGTGTATAATCTATAGGGTAAGCACTTTACCACTGATCCACTGCCTCAAGCCCCAAAGATGACGTTTTTACCTGCCATGTCATCCCCAAAGTCATTTAGAGATTTGTATAACTTCAGCTGGCAACTTATTGATGTCAGAGTTGAGTTCACTCTTTTCAAAATGGTCACATCCCAAGGTATAGTTCAAATGGCCTCACGAACATCATTCTTCCTGTTTTCCCCTACATCTCTCCTTAACATTATCTACAGAGAGCAGGAAGGACAGGAAGAGTGGCAGGCAGGAAGTCAAAGAATATGGTGAGGGACCTATGAGTCAGAGACAGAGATATACACAGAGGAAGAGGCAGAAACAGAAAGAAAAAAAAGGAAAAAGAAAAGAAGCCTTGTCTGGGTTTCTTGGGAAAAACCTGCTCTTAAACATCTGCCTAGCCAGCACACCAGCCCCACTTCTGCAACCCAGGACAGTGCTAACCACAAACATGACCCCAGTCCCATTAGGATTCTTCATAGCACCTATATCAGTGGAATGGTAAAACCTGACAAAAACTTAAAAAGGGATTCTAAAAACAAAACAACAGAGACAAGCACACTTCTTGGTAGCAACATTTTCTCAGGTGGGCTCAAGGCTCCTTTAAGAGAGGCTTCCTGACTCAGCATTAGTGGCAAGGCCTGCATGGCTCTTTTAAGACTGCTACCAACAGTTAAATAGTGTGTACAAGCAGCTGGCAGCAGCAGTGACCACATTTCCAAGCCACACAGCATGGCAGGTTTAACTTTTACTCATATAGACAAAAAAGTTTAAGAGTTGAAGCAGTGAGCACAGTTCCCAGTGTTGGTAGTAAATGTGCCCCAACCATGTTGGAAAGCCAGCAGCTAAAACGTCCGCTTTAATTTTAGTCATGCTGTTCAGCAGGTTAAAAAACAAAAACAAAACATAATTATTAAGTGTTCTAGTTTATTTTCAGTTATTGCAGTTACTCTCTTACTTATCTAATTTATAGATTAAATTTAATCATAATGTGTTTATAGGAAACTAAAGAGTGTATTCATAGGGCTGAGAACCCTTCTCTGTTGAAAATTTACGTAGGGACAAATGAAAGATTCACTTCAGTAGGACAAGAAAGACCCCACGGGAGAAAAACACTGATTTGTTTGAGATGATAAGAAAGGCAGGTAGAGAAACTGAGGGATGACTCAGTTGACACAGGGCTTTCTGGGTAAGCACGAGAACCTGAGCTCAGATCCTCAGCATCCACATTAAAACAAACAAACAAACACCAGGTGAGGAATAACACTCCTCTAAGGCCAGGGCTGTCAAGGAAGCAGGGACAAGATGGTCCCTGAGGCTTACTAATCAGTCTATCTGGCCAAACTTGTGAACTTCAGTGAGAGACCTTGCCTCCAAAAAAAGGTACACAGTAACTGTGGGAGATACCTGACATTGATCTGATCTGTGGTCTCCACATATATGTGTATGTACACAGCGTGATCACATACCACACACACCGATCACACACCACACACACCTCTTACACACATACATACCTCTCTCTCTCTCTCTCTCTCACACACACACACACACACACACACACACGTAATAGGTTAGAGGGAAGGGGAGATATCTGGGTCCATTGGCCTCAATTTTCCGGAAAATAAGTAAGATCTAGATAAAGACACATGGAAAAGGATAGAGTATGCTAAGGACCTTATGTCACCTTTAGAAATGTCTAAAAGATGACCAAGTATGAGTGGCCACCATACTGAACAAGAGACTACAATCTTGGTGCCAGTGGCAGTAGGGTTCTTGTCCCTGACTCTCAGCCACAAAGACCTTTCCCCTGCCTGGCTCTAAGTGTCCAGAATCACTTTTCCCGTCTTCTAAATTGAACTCTTTGCAGCTGACAGACACATTAATGCTCGTGGTTTGAATCGCACAGCCTCCCTGCCCCTCAGTGCGGAGAGCAGTCATTAAAAAAAAAAAAAAAAAAAAAAAAAAAAAAGGAGGAAGAAAGAAGTTGCTTGCCCCAAGCAGCCTTCATAGACAGCAAGACAGCTCATTCAGCTTCTCTAGCTGCCAGTCTGTCTTTGTCCTGTGTATCTGACATCACAGCACTACAGCTTGAATATGAAAGACGCCCTCGGGTCCTGTTTTTAGTGATCACCAGTGAATGACTACTGAGGTTAGGGCAGTACAGCTTTTAGAGGGCGGGGCCTATATGGTGGAGGTAAAATTTTGAAAACTAAAGATCAGCCCTAGCCCTCACCTACCTATCCCCTTCCCTACTTCCAAGCCCCTGTGATGTCTGACCACCAAGAAGATGTTCCACCATGCCTTCCCCCACAGGATGGACCAAAATCTCTTTGCAACTGTAAGCCAAAAATAAATCTGTCACTGGGGAAATAACTTGGTGGGTGAGTTATTGCCTGGCAAAGAGTAAGTTATTTCCTGGCATGCTTGGGGTCCTGGGTTCACTCCCCATTGTCATCAAAGAATAAAAGAGGTGAAGCCTTGACCAAAGTAACCTCTCCATCAGGCCTTTGGTCATAGTAACCCCAAAACAACTAATACACATATGTATTTCTAACATGTTTCTAATATTATAACAGGGCACTGGAAATTTCATCAGTTCTGAGATACACATTCTTTCATATCTTAAACTCAATGAAGTTAGTATATAACTCACAACCAATGATATGTGATACATGGGCAGAATTTAAATTTTTTCTTGGGGGGGGACGGAGAAAGACACCCCTGCATCAGATGTTTGGTTTGGTGATGTTTGATTTGAATGTTTTACATCCTATGATGCAACTTAATACAGTGCATGTTTTCCAAACTTTGGCTCATAGAGTAAGAACAGCATTGACCCTTAAGGAATGACCCAAGCTCTCCTCAACACCCCATCTCCTCTGGACTCCCAAGTGGATGGACAAGATGATGCTCCTGGCCACAACTTGAGAGCCAGCAGGTCCCAAAAAGTTGTGACCTATGTCCTGCTCTGCTTTCTATTCCTGTGATAAACACAATAACCAAAAGTAACCTGAGAAGGAAAGGGTTTATTTCAACTTACAGTTTAGAGGCCTTCATGCAAGAGTCAGGGCAGGAACTTGAGGCAAGAATTGAACCTGAGGGCTTGGTTCCTAGCTTGTTCCCTGCGGCTTGTTAGCTAGCTTTCTCAGGCAGCCCAGGACCAGCTGCCCAAGGGCAGCACTGCCTAGTAAGGTGTTGGCTCTCCGCTCCCCTCTCACACCAATCATTAGTTCAGAAGATGCCCCACAGACTTGCCTACAGTCAATCTGATGGAGGCATTTTTCTCAATTGAGATTCCCTCTTCTCTGATGATCCCAGCTTGTATCAAGTCAATAAAATAAACACAGCACAATTAGGTTAGTTGATGGCAGGGCTGGAACTGAACTCCCCAAACCCTAGACCCCATCCCACCTCAGCTGCCTTCCCAGTTCTGCCCTTACTGGGCAGCTGACTAAGCAGGAGTCCCTGTTACTAATTATTAGCAAGCCTGTCAGCATTGGGTACCACCTGCCCTCAGCTCACTTTATGAGGGTTTAGGCTCTCTGTCAGATCTCTGCACTCTGTGAGGAACTGGATTTATGCAAAATAGTTGTGAATCACGAGTGTGAAGGAACTTTAAATAAATGTGGATGATGCCATCATAATATACACAGCTGGGGGTTAAAGTGTTCTTAAGTCTTTGAAAAGCCTGGAGGGGGAGGGAGGGGCAGCTGACTCCCACAAGTTAAAAAAAAAAAATTACTTATGTGACAGGTAGGTCTTGACAAGTTGACAAGGCATTTTCCTCCCCACCCCACACGCTAATACACACACACACACACACACACACACACACACACACACACACACACACACACACACACACACACATCCCAATCCCAGTCTAGTTCCTTAGTCGGGCAGCCCCCAGGTGATTGGTTCCCAAGTTCTCTGTCCCACATGCCAGTCCTCAGTGCTTGTCTCCCTTTGCCCTCTTCTCCGCACACAGACAGTTAACCACACCCTGTGTGGAGTGTTCCCATTCACTCCATCCAGACACTGCAGGCCAAGGGGATCTCAGGACACACTCACCTTCAGGTGGATGGGGAAGGGTCGCTCTTGCTGGAGAGGTCCAAGCAGAGTCTGCTCTACGCTGACCAGCTCCGAGGTCGAGTCCACCACGCGGGCCAGCGCGCTGCGCATCGCCATCCGCGCCAGGGTGCAGGGTCTGCGGTCCCGGGGGAAGGGCAGCAGCTCGGCGCCCCCCTCTGCGCCCCGCAGCCCGCCTGCCTCGGGGGAGCTCCGCACTCCCGCGACCCCGCGTCCCAGCCCCCGCCGGGTCCGCATCTGGCTTGAGCGACGAACCTGGGCGGCGGGCACGTGGTCTGGGCCACGCGGGCTTCCGGGGTCGCTAGGACCTTCGCCCCAGCCCCACTCTCGCTGTAGCAGCTGCAGGGTCTGAAGAGCCACCATTTGGTGGCTGATGGAAGCCACTAAGGGCGCAGGGCTGGCCATGGCTGGCTGGAAACTGGGCGCTGAAGAGCAGGTGGAGCGCAGGAGAGGGAGCTTGGCGGCGTTCGGGGTCTCGGGGTCACATTTTTCTAATTCACCCTGCCTCCACGTTCCTCAGCGTGTGTGGCCTGCCCCGCCCCCAGCCCGCAAGTGGTGACCCTAGCTTGCCCCTGCAGTCAATTCTAGGCAAAAATGGGCTCGAAATGACCCAAAGCTGCCTGAAGCCTGCTCTGTGAGCGCTTGAACATCAGCCAGATGCTGAGCACTGGTTCTTCTGCCTCTCAAGGCTTTGGTGGGGAAACATGCTGCTCTGGGAGGATGTATCTATCCCCTGATACCCCGCCCCCTTCTTCCATGAAGGACTCCAGCCAAGGACTGCTTAAAACAGGGAAGGCCCCAGGTATGGGGTGCCACCAGGAACCAAAGTGCCCAGAGCTCCAGCCAAACTCAAAGGACATTGGTGGATTCTCTTCCTTTTAAATGCTATGGGCATTTAAAAAAAAAAAAAAAAAAAAAAAAAACTACTTGAAACAGCCTTCAGGCCTTGCAGACTCCCAAACAAAATATATGGACAATGGTTCAGCACTTATTGCTTGGTTCCCTGCAGGTACTGATATCCCAGATGCAGAAATAGCATCCACGAAGAGTTGGCATGGCTTGCTCCTGAAGCCCAAACCTGGCACTGCCCACACGAGGAGCTTGACTGTTTTGTGTAGAAGAACTCAGGCAGCAGCATCAAAGGTCAATCCTCTTATGGAGTATGAACCTCCGGACAGTTATATAAATACCCATTTTTAATCACACCAAACATGGCTGTCTCCTTTAAGCAATGTGAAAGGACTGGCAATTTTCATCTTTTTAGATTGACAGTCATCGGTGGTTTTTGTTTTGTTTCGCGCGCGCGTGTGTGCATGCGTGCGTGCGTGTGTGTGTGTGTGTGTGTGTGTGTGTGTGTGTGTGTTGTTGTTGTTGTTTTTTAAGGCATTTGGAGGAAATAGCTATGAGAATTATCCCAGAGAACATCATTTTCTCTGCTTTCTTCTTGTAAGGTGAATCCAATGACCCAGCATAGCAGAAGCAAGGCACAGAGGTAGGGTGAAGAATTATAGGCATATAGAGGTCCAGGCAGAGTGGAGGTGTGTCCCATGGAGTCAGGTCTGGAAGCTCTCTGGGTGGAAACGCCCTTTCGAGGGAAGAGTGAGCAGTAAGAGATATGGGGTCCTTTAAGATTTCATCTACTCCAGGGTAGTTGACCCTGTGCAATCCTCCCCACCCCCCAGCAAAGGTTCTTAGAATTCTCAGTTTCCTTCCCTCTCAAAACCAATCCCAATAAATACAGGGGTTTTTGTTGTTTGTTTGGTTTGGGTTTTTTGTTTGTTTGTTTGTTTGTTTGTTTGTTTGTTTTTCCCACATGTTATCTCTGGGTAAAAACGCTGGTCTGTGCAGCCACAGAGGAGACAATGACTTTGGAGACAGGCAGTTTAATATTGATTAGTTTATCTTGCCATAACATTACTTAAGTTCATACGCAGAAACACAGAAATTCTTCCAAAATGTGTATTTGTTTTTCACATCTTCAGATGTTGAAACACATTCTGCAAAGATGAAACAGAAATAACATAAACCACTCCCTGTTATCCCAGAGCATGTCAGGTCTCCGGGATTTCATGGACTAAGCCCTCTGCTCTTGAATGGCTGACTGCGAAACTCTCCTGACTGCTGACATTAATCAGCAGGACAGGAATCACTAGACACAGCAGAACCTGAGCCCTCCTCTTATACATACCACTCTGATCCCAAGAGCCATGAAACAACTGAACTTCAAGGAAGCACATGAGATGAAGGCCAGAAAATCGCAGGGCATGAGGGGTGATACCTACTGAGAGATGGCCTGGTGGCTCTTCCACCTATCCACCCATGAGTCACATTTGTAGTTGGTGTCATCTCAAAATGGCTTATGGCCCAAAGCTGGGAGATCAAAGACCCTAATGAAAAGGCTTCATGGGATACTGACATGAATTAATAGTGTTAGCAGATCTGTCCTTGACCGAAAGCATCTGCAAGAGTTGAGTTTGTTAGGCCATCAGACCAAGTGCCCACCCACACCCATTTTGTATACAGTCTGAAACATTGGAAGAAGGACTCATTCAAAAGCACAAAATGTTACACATCCAGTAATGTTGCTTCATTATCTATTTGAGTATCTTGCGGAACACATGTTCTCATTGCTCAGTGGTAATTCTTCATCTCCCATGTTCAGTCCATAGGCTTGATGAGGTAAACTGATCCAAGTAGTAGAAGAAAGAGATTTGGGTCATTCAGGCTGCTGCCAATCACACAGCACCTTCCCAAGATGAGTGGTCAGGAATCATTTGGAATGCTTTTGGTTGAATGCAGTGTAAAAGATAAAACAATGGAGCTCCACAGTCTATACCAGAAGATCACACAGCAGCAAAGAACAGTTCTTTTAATAAGGAAGTATAACACAAAAGAATTTAATCAACAAGAATTTGTTGTCCCACACAAGAAGTCTGGAGGTGGCTCTTACATTACTCAACACTAGAGTTCTGAGGTCTCATCAAAGCCCTTTGTCCCTTCCATCTATCTGAGAGATGGTCCTCAGCTCAACAGTTTTGTCTTTTGTGCTTGATCTTTGGGTTACTTCCCCTCTGGACGATAACCTCTGAGCCAAGATGATATCTCTGCTTAGGTAACCCTAAAAGCTATGGCTCTCTTTCCTCTACATCTTGGCCAGAATTGTAGACCATATTTGTGTCAAGACAATCATAGTGGAGAGGAAGGGGCCAAGATAAGAATGAACCAAAATTCAGTCCTGAAGCATATACTCGTAAGGTGGATGGAAGGTACTGAAGAGGAGTGAGGGTTTTGTTACCCAAGAAACAGCAGTGGCAACGTTTTACGGTGGCCCTGGGAAAGGACACATCTGATCTCCAGGGTCTCTCCTATTTCCAGATACACAGGCAGCAAAGTGTCATGAGGCTAACTAACCCTTTCACTACAAATGGATGACTATATCATCCCTTGTATGAAATGACCAAGGAGATATATGTGTGGAGCCTCTGCAGCCAGCCTGTGGATTTGAGGGGACAGCTTGACTATGAATAACTCAACACCAAAGAGAAAAGCCAAAACATCTGGAGAGAAAATCAAGAGTCCTTACCATTTACAACCTGCACAGAGCTGCTCATGAAGACAGCCCGGCCTCTGAGCTGTTTGGTTACAGAAGACAATAGAGTATCTTTTTTGTTTGTTTGTTTGTTTGTTTAACCCATTTTGGGTTTAATTTATTAGAACAGAAGAAATCATAATGTAAACAAACAACATAATATATCAGGTCAATTTCACTGACCTTGCAACCCAGCACCCCTTTAACTAAACACTACTGAGTACATGCAATAATTACTTCCATAATACTTCTGCTATCCCCTTGCCTTTGTAGGTTAAAGCTCTCAGGGCAATTCCTGTCTTCCCCATAACCCACGAGAACCTTGTTCTCCAAAATCATTGAGAGTCTTGTGGCTGAGAGATGAGAATAAAAAGGGCTAAAAACTCAGTGAGTGAGGCAATGCCCCACTTGTCAGTGGACAAGGAAAAGTATCACTACATGGACAGGAGTTCTGGCACTTCTTTTAGTTCTAAGGGTCACACTCCTTTCCCACATGAGCCAAAGATGCCAATGCTCCTGCAGGAGGTTTGAGAAGCTGGGATCAGAAAGGATAGAAAGGAACAGGTGTGCAGAGTCACCCTCCAAGGACTCAGCAGAGACTAGCTATGTCTAAGCCCTGCTTATACTCTTTGGCAGTTTTCTCCAAGAAGGATCCAAGAAAATTCCAAAAATGGAGCCAGCCATTAACCTTCAATGCACCCTGGGGAAGTTCACAGAGGGAGGCAAAATAAAACATGTCCAAAGAGACCAAAGTGTTGTTTTTGTTGAATGAAAACCACAGAGGAGGACCACATCATAGAAGTGGATGCTGGAGAGACACACCAAGATATAAAAGGTACAGTGGAAGAGGAACAATCAAAGAAAAGATGCAGGGAAAAAAGACAAAGCAAGCAAGATCGAGTTCCCTTTCTAAATGTGTAACTAGTGTTTGAAGACTTCAAATCGTAAAAATGCACAAGCAGTTCTAACTACTGTTAGCAGTAAGCAAAAGTGGGTGGGGCAACCCTGCCATGAAACTGCTAAATTGCCAAGAACAATCTTTACACAGGGCAATGTACTTTCAGAACATCATGTATGTACTGTCTTCTTAGATCCTATTAGGGTGATGACTTGGTGAATCTGAATAAAGAAAAAGGCAAGAGTGGGTGCAAAGAGCATCATAACATGACAAAAAGTGTCCCCCAAAAGGCTCATGTGTCAAAGGCTTGGTCTCCAGCTGGTGGAGCCAATCACTGAGCAAGTTTTAGATTGAGAGGGCTCTGACATGATTTGCCTGCTATGTTTTACCTTTTCGACACAAAATGTGATTCTTTCCACATATGGAAATTATTTTCGTCGGTTCACTTCATTTAATTAATCAAATTCTAGATTTCTAGAGGAAAGTAGTTTTACATAACTCAGGAGGGCTTTGAACTCATTACCCTTTTGCCTCAACCTCTGAGTGCTTGGATTGCAGCATGCACCACCACACTCACCATATTTTAACAGTTTTCTGCATTTTCTTAGGATCCCTATCATAGTGCCTCCTACCAGCAGGAAACAGTATGGAAGGAACAACACCCAAATTCCCAAATATTGTTTATAAATGTTTGTTTTCATTTAAATGGGGTTGGTTATAATTGGTTAATGACTACAACCAATCTCTTTAAAGGTTAAAAAAAGGGGATTATGTTTTAGATATAATAACTTTGTTTTCATTTATTGATAAGAATTAAGGCCAGTTTTGTGATATGTATATTTCTCCTCTTGTTTAGATATTGTGTTTGCATAGCTCATTTAGAAATGTAATGTATAATTTAGTACAGATTATGATAGTTACCTATGATAATTAAAACTTATAGTTAGGTGAGTTAGGTTTTCTAGATATATAGAGATGTATTTGAGATGAATAGTGTTGTTCTTTTGCTGTAGCTAATGCCTATAAAACACAAACACGAGACTCGGTGCCCATGTGGAGTTTATTGAGAGAGGGGAGAGAAAGGGGGTAGCTGGTGGTGAACCTAAAGCAGGGGAGAGAGAGAAAGAGATAAAGAGCAGCAAGAGAGAGGGGGAGGGCCAGAGAGAGAGGAGCACTTGGCGGTCCTCCTATGGAACTTTACTGACCACTCCCTGCCTCGACCTCGCACCAACTTCTGTACATCCCCAATTAACATTGGGGACCAGGTCCTTCTCTCTCCCCCAG